CACGCGTCTAGCCGTTCGAACACGTGCGCGGATGCTAAGGAGACAGCCGCGGGCCAGGATTAGCAGTGCGCCCCACAAGTGCGTTTGAGTGGGGATTGGCGAATCTTGGGTCATGCGGGCTGATATGATTAAGGTTTAGTTAGTAAGATTATGCTGTTAAAATAGATTTATTGAAAAGGAGACCGCTCCGAGTTGATTGGACTGGGTACCATACTCGACCCATTGCAATTAATTCAGAGGTGTTGGGAGCCGCCATACTCTCAACAGCAGTTCCTTGAGGGCTGTCGGGGGCGGATATATCTGTGGGACGCCAATAGATAGTCCGAGGGCGTTATTAGACGACCCAAAACGCTAGGAAAAACGTAATCCGTGAAGGGCGTTGCGGCCTCCGAGGGACGGACTAGTAACCTACCTAGCAGCGATTCAACAACTAAGTGATCGCACACTTAGTGGAGGTTGAGTCGTCCCTAGTCATAATTGTTGCTGAAAGCTGCGTGTCGCTCTGTTGGAACCTAGAGGGTGTGGCCCCTAGGCTAGGTGTGGTACGGCGAGCCGGTAGGAGCAATTATAAGATTAAGTCGAATGCATTTTTTTTTAATTAAGTATACTTAAATTTATAAAGTAATTTCCGTTTATTTGCGTTGTTCTAGATTAATTTTTTCCCCTAAATTCAATCCCCGGTTAAAATTTTTCCCAAGTGTTTAGCGTTTTCTTGCATATTAGGCTAAGTGCGTACGTTAAGTTTTGTTATTCCCTGTTCTATTAGTCTAAGTCAGAGGCGTTGGTGCTAGAGTGTAGTTAATCCTCTGGACTTAGGGCTATATGTCGGTCACGATAGATAAGTGAAGGAGTTTAAGGGATAATAAGTGCGTGTAAATGCTTAATAGAGTCCGGGGTATATTTCTAAGTATTTTGGGATAAGTTTTCGGCTAAGTCGATGTCGGAAACTCGTTAACTGTAATTAATTTGTATTCGTGGGTCACGTGTATGATCTGGGCGTCATTAGGATTCTCCAGTCGATGCGAGTGATATTTTCTAGTTTTTACCAGTAAGACGGTAGAATTGTGGTTGTAGACTTAGAATTCTGTTTTCAGTAGAAACGTAGGTGGAAAATTTTCTAAGTCCAGCTTGGGCTAGAATCTGACTTTTTGGCGGAAATTCTAATTTTCATGTTTCGTGTATATCCTAGGGTCAGTATTACTCTCTAGTGCGCGCAAGGGACGTAATTCTGTTCGTAAAGCATTAAACAGTGATAATTACATTTTTGCCGAATTTAGTTATTTTTCGAGAAAATCGTGTTGTAATTTTGTCAGAGTCCATTTGAGGTGAAAATCTCGGATTTTGACGAAAATTCGAATTAGTGAGTGTTGAAACCGCCCGATGTGTCAGTATTGTTCTGCATACAACGTCAGTAGTAAATAATAACGTATTTATATCTGGAAACGAGAAACCCAAATTTTTGTGAATTAAAGGAGTTTTGTGATATTTGGGGTGATAGAAATTTTTTTCCCTCGGAGTCAGAAAAATTGGCAGAGTCCAGCAATTGAGTAAAAAAACGCAGTTTTTGATAAAAATTCAATTTTTTAGTAAGCATTTATAGGTCCTGGGTGTCTATATTAATCGCTAGAGCGGTTTATTAACGTAAAACTAGTTATTTTCCTTCAGAACAAAAATTTTGATTTTTCAGTGTTTAAGCGAAAAAGCGCGGGACTTAGTTTTTTTCAGCGCAGCTGGTCCCGCTCCATCAGTCATCAGGGGCCACGCTGCTCACTTCAAGCGCGTTTAGTATTCAAGTACAGTAAATATTCTTTATTAATCCATCACGAGTGCTGCGCGTTAGTTGCGGTATCATTTAATTTGTTTTATATAAATTAGATTCTTTAATTTTTTTTTAACGTAAAGGACTTAGGTTTCAGCAATAGAACTGCGGGATATTTCACAGTCAGACACGAGTGCGGGGCAGACACTCATTCATTGGATTCACTTCAGCGATTCTCTCGATAAATCGGTGTATTTCCTATTTTGGGAATTTAGTAGTTTTTTCTTAGAATAGAGTTGTGATTTTTTTTTATTTGTGTAAGATCACGGTTGTAGTGAGTCCGGGTCGAGGGTGTACTAAAGGGTAGTTTAGAAGAGACGTGGCACACCAGGAATCACAGAAAATGTTTAACCCAGATAATGACCAGTCAGTGGGGACCAGTGGGAGTGGAAGTGGAAGTGTAGAGGACAGCACCTCTTCCGACACCACTGGGGACCACCTAGGTACACCTCATCCGTCACTACAACAACCCCAACCCCATCCTCAATTCCCATACCAACCCCATCCTCAATTCCCATACCAACCCCCTCCTCAGTTCCCATACCAACCCTTCCCCCAACCCCAGGCCACGCCATACCCATTCCAACCCCAGGCCACCCCATACCCATACCAACCCCAGGCCACCCCATACCCATATCAACCCCAGGCCACCCCATACCCATACCCATTCCAACCCCAGGCCACCCCATACCCATACCCATACCCATTCCAGCCCCAGGCCACCCCATACCCACCCCAACCTCCATCCACACCCCAGCCTGAGGTCACCCACACCATACCTCAGCCCCAACCTCCATCCACATCCCACCGCTGCCACCATTGTAACACGGGTTTGTGGTCCCCTCTCTTTACTTCCTTCTACTCCCTCTACCCGTATTCTTACTTTTATTTCTAAACCAAGGGACTCCAAAACTTTTAACAAAGCCAACTCCACGCCACGTGGTCCTAAGACGATTGACCGACTTAGGATTCTACACCCAGTATGACGTGACCTAAGCTCTGAACAAAACCCTAGAGTCACCTCTGCTGCCACCACCAGACCAGTAATACAAGAGCAATGATCGAGGTCTGGATCGATCACGCTAATTAATCAACCTAGGGGCTTGATCCCCACTATAAACGATGACCTTGAGTGTGGAATAAATTACACGGTAATGATAATTCCGATTCGATGTTAGAATCGGCGCCCAATGCAACTCTGCCTCGTGTGGACCACGTGACCAGGACAAGTATACACATAAAACACATGGAAACAATAAAATGCAAATTAATAACAAATTTAATTTATTAAAAGAAAACTAAAACAAAATCTAAATGTGTTCACTCCCTATCACTTTAACACTCCCTACTTGACCTGAATGGCAAATGAGAAGACTATCCCTATAATTTACAATAGCAACTATACCTTGGGCGACCACAGCTCTGGGTGTTGTGCTGGTCTTGTTGGGGAGAGGTAAGATGTTGACCTCTTATCCCAGCTGCTTCCGTGACCACACTGATTTTTCCCTTGTCTCGTCTCCCCCAGACAGAACATTGTATCCTTGCGCCTAGTCAAAGTTCTACCCAGTTACTAGCAAGGTTTAAGTTATAACAATTAAACTCGGTTGTACTTAATTGATCCAGACTAGTTGAATTATTTTACTGAAATAAATTACACAAGCCTCTAACGGCAGAGCTGTTCCCGATCACAAAAATGGTTATTAAAACTTTGAGAAATATTAGACATGTCAACCCTTGATGACCTATGACCGCCGGTCACTCCGCTTTAAAAGTTAGATCCGATTCGTGACGTCACTGATGGTGACTTAAACTCAATAATTAGAATACTCTTGATATTGTATCCAGTACTATTATACAATACAATTTTAATGCAAAATGAATAAAGGCTAATTTTCTCTAAATTACTTGAATACTATAGGATGATTCATTATACGCAGATATGAACAAAGCGTCGGTTATTTCCACCGCGAATTCCCCTGGGGGTCAGGTCACCATGCGGCTCAGCTTCCCATTCTCTTTTGTCGATAAACCACTCTGGATAATTCTTACAACAGCCTAGTCTGTTACACCGGGCTCGGGTTTCTTTGGTTGTCTGCAGGGTTATTAAGTCTAACTAGCCTGCAGTCTATCATTGTGCCCACAACATTCGTAAGTTTGCTGCTTTGGCTGCCGTCTTTGGCAACATGTCTTGGGTTGACATTCGGGCATGGGGTGTTTGGTGGTCGAACAGGGTCCTGGCCGCTCGCTACCTTGTCATTGTCCCTGGACCTGGTAGGGTCTGCGTTGTATTGGGTCGGCGGTTGCAGCCAGTTGTTTCGACATCGCATTGAGGAGTGAGGACTGACCGCCTCCCGGGTAAGTCCCTGTGTTTTTCCTTGTCTTTGGGGAGTTAGCTCTGAGGAGTCAATGGGGCTCTCCCCAGAAAACCAGTGTTGAATGTAATGAAATGCCATTTCCTGGGCGAGACCCAGAGGCTTCCCGGCATCCCTCCTGCCCTCCGATCGGCGGTGTTTTTGACATCAAGCCTAAGAACTGCCGGTTGGATCGCCGGCGTGAGGGTCTGGCGCTCCCCTTTCCCCCTCCCGTGGAGGGTGGGGGGGGGGGTTGCACAGACAGTGGCGCAGCAACGTGAGGACGTCATTCTAGTTGCTTGTTTTCATTTGGGGAGGTCTGTCCACTCGTTCAGCCTTTGGTAGCAATTTTTTTCACCAGAACAGGGGTTTGCTTTGGGATGCCTACCTTTCTGGATGACGAACCTGGTCGATGGCAGACATAGAATGCTTCCAACCCACACAGGGGTTCCTATAGGCCATTGCTCCTCATGCTTCTCTGAAGGATCCTGGTTCTGGCTCGTCCCCAGTAGACAAGAACTCCATGCACTATGATGCCATAAAGCTAGTAGTTACATATCGGCGAGGATAGCTCCGGGGAGCCTTTGGGTCTCGCCCAGAAAATGGCATTTCTTTACATTCAACTGTTTTTTTTTTTTAATTATTGGGTATTTATTATTTAATTAGTTTTTATTATTATTGATTTATTATTTTTGTATTAATTATTTGTATTCATATATTATTATAATGATATTACAGTACAGTACTACTTATTATAAAACATGAACCCATTATTCATAAGAATGAAAACTGTGTGCTTAAATTAATTCCAAAATTGTCACATCACACAGACCAGGTTGAAGAGTTGAAATCCTTGTCTTCATCTCAGTTGTCTAATAAAGAAAGTCCAAAAGACACGGTGAAGTGCATTGGCATGAGGAAACTACTGACGAGCCATCTTCCTCTGAGACGACCACAATGTGCACCAAACATTGAAAGTGAAGCACAAGTTTGCTATAAGGTACATTACTTATTTTTATGGTAACGTGTAATTGATCTTGTTAATAAGCATCTATTTTGTCTCGTTTCCACCATAGGTCTCAATCATAGCCTTACTCAGCCTGGCCTTCATTAATATATAAATTAAGACCTGCCTGAAATGTTATGCATTTTAGTGGCTTCGCAAGAATGTACTACTTAACCACTAATGTGTGCCCTTTCACAACCCATTTTACCTTCTTGTATATAAATAAATGAAAGCACAAGGGATTAAAAAAAAACTATCAAATTACATAAAATAAAGTAAGAACATAATGAACAATAAAAATTGTGCCAAAAGATTGATTTCTTCAGATGGTGGCAGGACAAATAAAATTGTGCTAACAATTTCAAGTACAGTATGTAAGACTACCTCACAAAATATTAATAAAATGATCATAGCATATTTAATATATAATATAAAATGCACTTACACTGTTCATTTTACCACAGGAAAACAATTGCCAGAAGATGACACTTTCTAGTGATGGACAAACTAAACAAAATAAGAACTTGACCAATAAAGGTAGCACAAAACCTTTGACACAGCCACGCGTGTCAAAGAACCACGCTCCACTGCTCCCCATAGGAGTAAACAGAGTGGCCACCCTCCACAAGGTTATTATTTATTTATTTATTTTTTATTTTTTTTATTTATTTATGCATATACAAGAATGTACATAAGGAATGTGAGGATACAATTATGGTAATTACAGTCTTGTAAAGCCACTAGCACGCGCAGCGTTTCGGGCAGGTCCTTAATCTAAGAAAATTTTAAGGAGGTAAATACTTGCAAAATTTATAGACAAAAAAATGATAACAGATTACATGGAATGAAAAAAAAAAAAAAGATGAGAGAAAATTATAGGTACAGTATATTAAAGCACATAGATAGCTATGATTGATTGCAATGACAGCTTAAAATGGTAGTTGACAACAAATTGGTAGGCACAATACAGCAGAAACAATATAAGATTGATTGCAATGACAGCTTGAATGGTAGTTGACAAAAATTGGTAGTCACAATACAGCATATGGCTAGCACATAAAAGAAGACAGCAATGAACACAATGATAAGGTTGTTTGATATTACATAAAAATTAGGAGATTGGGTACCACTAGGTACAGAGCAAATTTAAAGCTCAGTGTAGGAAACTAAATAGATGAAGTTAGGTACTTTTTGGTTTTGCTTTTAAATAAGGCAAGAGTTTTACAGTTTTTCAATTCACTAGGGAGTGAATTATGGATTCACTGAATTATGGTAGGGATTATGATAATATTGCTTTCACATTTTACCTACCATAGTACAATGCAACTTGCAAGAAAGTCAATGTGATCTAAACTGAGAGTTACATTATTTCCAGATGGCATAAATTCTAATCCTTCATGTAAAACTCACATAATTAAACAAATATGCAAAAAACATGGGTACCTAGACAACATTTTTGATGGACAGGAACACTTCAGGTTCACCCAACACTCGAGGCGGCTGAATCACCCTCCAACTTCTTATACCATAACCAGACTAGATTATGCAGAATATAAGTGAATTATAACATGCAAACATGCAAGGGCACACAATAATAATAATAGACACGAACAAACCTCTGAAATACAATGTTACAGGATAATGCAGTATTATTCAATATAGTGTGCAAAATTAATATACATCTGTGTTTAGCTATTACAACAAATCAGTCCACTTCTCTGTGGTAAAACAAATAAATATAATACATTGTACACCATCAAGATAACCTCAAGATAACCATGGTATTTTCAGCATTATACAATAAAGAAATGATGTAAAAGATAAAACTAGTGGCTATACAAATCCTGGATGTACAACTAAACATTCTGATAGTTATGAGCAGGTTTTATCGTCTCATTCTGAACATTGTATTATCTGGTGTATAAGACACACCTCCGCCCCGTCTTGCCTCTGCTTTAGACTTGCCTCCATTTCACAAAGATATTGTGGATTTTTTCCGTTATTATTATTATTATTATTAGTAGTAGTAGTAGTAGTAGTAGTAGTATGTTGCATCATATGTTTATTGAATGTCAATTTAAAGTACAGCTTCCCTTTTACTGTGTTGCTTTGTTCAAGCTTAGAGCTTAACATAGAACGTAAGCTCAAGGCCATAACAATACATCGTATCCACCAGAAAATATAGTAATCAAGTATTTTTGGGAGTGCTTTTGATATTTATATTTAATCTGAGTAATTTATTCATTGTAAACTCGTAAATTGTTGGCTAAATAAATTGTGCTATGCCGCCAATTAGAGCTTAAGTTGATGGAACAATTTTAAAATATTTTGTGAGATAAGTGTAAAGTATTCAGTATATTTTTACTCTGCAGTTCTAAGTGTGTGATTACCTATTTGTGGTTTCTGTGAAAATCATGCTTTTGGTATTTTGCCTTCTTTTGCTCATTTTGTATTATTGTTTCTATGCTTTTTGTACACCACCTCATTCTGCAGTTTTAACCTGGGTTCCTTGGCCGAGTTGAGGACATGTGGACTACTTGTGATTTTAGTGCTGTTTTGACCTTTAGTACATGGGAAGTGAGAATTTACAATTACCTAAACAGTAGTTTGGCTTGGAAGCATTATTGACCTGTGGTTAATTTTTGGGGAAATTGTCATGATTTATAGTATACTATACTCAGGATGATGGAAGATGGATATGTCTTCCATGGTTGCCTTATTGTGATGCCATTTCTAGTTTAATACTTGTTATTGCTGACTAATGTCTTTTATATCAATTTAGACAGAAACTCGGCACGAAATACCTGCACCAAAGATGCACGTTACCAATGAAGAAAGAAAATCGTCCGATACCGACCAACAGATGGAACGTTTTGGACTCGAGTTAGAAAGTTCTCACACTGTAGAATCCAACAAGAGTCTAATATACAAAGATGCTTCAAGCATTTATAAAACATGCAAGTCTGTTTCCTCACATTCCCAGCTGTGCTACCCTGACACCCCAATAAGCCATATGTTTATACCAGGTTAGTACTATATAATGTTACGCTGGTTGTAAAATAGATGGTTTTAGTTGCTTGACTGGACACTTCCTCACCCCCACCACTAGCAATAACATCACTATTGGCACATTTTTCAGGAGAATTGGATAGTATTGCAGCAAATTGCTCCAATTTGCATTGCAACATTCTCGGTCACCACCCATGCACCCCTCGCTCGTCAGTTTAACTCCAGCATTTCTCTTGCTGTTAGAGCAACTTATGCTGATGGATAGTATTCAAGTTAACTTTTAATATATTTTTTCAGTACCAAAACCTTTTATGTCCTTCAAATTCCTTGCAATTTTGCATGTCATCCACTGTCCATATTATGGTCAGTGTTCAAAGGCTGTATGGTGCACACCTTTTCTCAAGGCCCATTAACCACTGTGATGCGCCGAGTTTATTGTGACATTCCCGTTGTGTGCACGAAATAAAGTGTTCACAAAAATTTATTTGTTCTTTGTAAAAGGATAAATTTCCTTCCCTGAACATGTACATGTGAAAAAATTAAAAAAAAAAATCCACTTACTATGGCTATGATGACGTGCAGAAGGGGGGCGTCACAGGCTAGTCCGCCCGTGTGTGAAGCTCCCAGAGGCGGTTACACACGCCATTCAAACACCGCGAGTTGCCACAAATATATTTTCAATTATTTGTTCCATATATTTCCAATGCTGTTTTATTTTTGTTTTTATCGTATATGATGCATGTTTGTGTCCTTACAATATGTATACAGTAGAACGTTCATAATGTTCCATGGAACTGTGATACATGTCAGTAATGTGTCCATAATAAATGTTTATTGTCGCAATACTACTTGTTAAAAATTCACCAAAGTTACAATATGTACAGTTTCACATACTATTTACACAGTAACACACTGTATTACACACGTAGGTGATATGATCACTACATACAAAATAGTAACAGGAATTGATAAAATCGACAGGGAAGATTTCCTGAGACCTGGCACTTCAAGAACAAGAGGTCATAGATTTAAACTAGCTAAACACTGATGCCGAAGAAATATAAGAAAATTCACCTTCGCAAATAGAGTGGTAGATGGTTGGAACAAGTTAAGTGAGAAGGTGGTGGAGGCCAAGACCGTCAGTAGTTTCAAAGCGTTATACGACAAAGAGTGCTGGGAAGACGGGACACCACGAGCGTAGCTCTCATCCTGTAACTACACTTAGGTAATTACACTTAGGTAATTACTCAAATTGCCAAATTTTGCAAAATATATGATGAAGGCACACAAACATTCATATTAAAACAGAGATGCAGGGCCAAAAAACAGGATTGGTTCAACAAATTGTGAGAGGGCCAGAGACCAAAAATGGAATCAGTATAGGAAGAGGCCAAACCCCCAAACGTACCAGCGATACAAAAATGCGAGAAACAACTATACGGCAGTGAGGAGAGAGGCAGAAAGAAATTTTGAAAAAGGGATAGCAGATAAATGTAAAACAGAACCGGGCCTATTCTACAAATTCATAAACAATAAATTGCAGGTAAAGGATAATATCCAGATGTTGAAAATGGGAAACAGATTCACGGAAAATTAAAAGGAAATGTGTGAAACATTAAACGAAAAGTTCCAAAGTGTTTGTACAAAATTAAATCTTCAGAGAACCAGATACGATAAGAATTCCAGAGAACAACATGGAGCGTATAGAGGTGTCTAGAGATGAAGTGGAAAATATGCTAAAGGAGCTCAGTAACAACAAAGCAGTTGGCCCAGATGGAGTTTCACCTGAGAGAATGTGCATCTGAGCTCAGGATTCCACTTCACCTGATCTTTCAGGCATCCCTGTGTACAGGAGTTGTAGCAGACGTGTGGAAACAGGCTAACATAGTTCCAATCTACAAAAGTGGCAGCAGGGAAGACCCCCTCAATTAATTATAGACTAGTATAATTGACTAGTGTAATAGTGAAAGTATTGGAAAAACTAATCAAAACTAAATGGTTAGAACACCTGGAGAGAAACGATATAATATCAGACAGACAGTATGGTTTTCGATCTGGAAGATCCTGTGTATCGAATTTACTCAGTTTCTATGATCGAGCCACAGAGATATTACAGGAAAGAGATGGTTGGGTTGACTGCATCTATCTGGACCTAAAAAAGGCTTTCGACAGAGTTCCACATAAGAGGTTGTTCTGGAAACTGGAAAATATTGGAGGGGTGACAGGTAAGCTTCTAACATGGATGAAAATTTTTCTGACTGATAGAAAAATGAGGGCAGTAATCAGAGGCAATGTATCGGACTGGAGAAATGTCACAAGTGGAGTACCACAGGGTTCAGTTCTTGCACCAGTGATGTTTATTGTCTACATAAATGATCTACCAGTTGGTATACAGAATTATATGAACATGTTTGCTGATGATGCTAAGATAATAGGAAGGATAAGAAACTTAGATGATTGTCATGCCTTTCAAGATGACCTGGACAAAATAAGTATATGGAGCACCACTTGGCAAATGGAATTTAATGTTAATAAATGCCATGTTATGGAATGTGGAATAGGAGAACATAGACCCCACACAACCTATATATTATGTGAGAAATCTTTAAAGAATTCTGATAAAGAAAGAGATCTAGGGGTGGTTCTAGATAGAAAACTATCACCTGAGGACTACATAAAGAACATTGTGTGAGGAGCCTATGCCACACTCTCTAACTTCAGAATTGCTTTTAAATACATGGATGGCAAAATACTAAAGAAATTGTTCATGACTTTTGTTAGGCGAAATACTAAAGAAATTGTTCACGACTTTTGTTAGGCCAAAGCTAGAATATGCAGCGGTTGTGTGGTGCCCATATCTTAACACTTTCGCGCTCCCTGGGAATAAGCTGACCTTGAGCCCTAAGTGGGCCGTTCGTGTCAGCCTACTGCGCGTCAGCACTAAAATGTTTATAATGTTTTCGGGGTGGGGAGCTTAATTTTGGCGGTATGTATTTAAATTTGGTATCATTGTGTTCGAGAGAGAATGCTCTAGAGGAATATATATATAAAATGTCACCAAAGACAACATGAGAACCACACCGAATAACAAACTGTGGCGGTCGTTAGCTGTGAGCGTAAAACCGGGCATCAATGTTTACGATGTTTTTATGTTTGCGAACCCCAGAATTATTATTCGTGGTTTATTTTGGTATCATTGTGACCGCAATAAAATTCCCTACACGGACATATAAATATACACAATAAATAATGGTGTCGCCCCACCCACAGGAATGTGGGAAGTTGGCTTAGGGTTACCCGCCGGAGCGCGCCCAGCTGCACATGCGCTCAACCACAACTGAAAAGTTTATACTCTCCTCATGTCTGTGACCCTCATTTTCGATGTACGTGTTTTTTTTTGGTATCACTGTGTAGCTAATGAAATGTACTATAAGAACATATGTATAACATTTCACCAAAGCTAACATTAGGCGACCAGCAACCAAAGAACTGCGTGCTTTGTTTCGCGCTCACGCTAAACTCCGCTAAACTCTCCCTATATGTTGCTACTCTGATTGTGTTTATCAAGTCAAAACTTGTTGCATATGGTTTTGTTTGGTATCACGGTGATCGCAATAAAATTGCCTACACAGACATATGCATAAAAGTGGGTTACACGTGCGCGCCTCACCCCCAAACACCCCCAAACACGTCGATGCCTCACCCGCCCAAACACCCGTTTCCACGCCCGGTACACCCAATACACCCGACAAACAAAAATATTGTTCCAATGGAAGTTTTTGTGCTACATTGTTCATTTTGGTGTCAAAATACTCGCAAGAAGATGCACTATGTAGACATACCAATCTGAGCACTAAGAACTGGAATATATATAGAGCTACCCACAGCAAAGTATGAAGAAGTAATAACCTCAAAATGTGTAATATAAATTATGTGTACTTACCCACGATGTGATGAAGGAAGGTCAACAAGTTGAGCATTTGATTATCCACTCCACCGGCTTCAGGAAAATGTCCCTGAAGTTGCTCAACAGATGTTACGTTAGGTGGAGTGGAAGCTTGCAGAGGAGTTATTTCTTTGCTTTCCAAAATATCCTCTTGCGGTGATATTTTGAGTAGCATGGTGTGGCACATAGAGCAACTCCACATGTCCTGCACTGATACATACAGTCTTTTCTAATTCCCGACTTGATACAAACTCGGCACCGTTTCCGTTTAGCAATTTTCACTAATGCATGAGTCAACTTCCTGTTTAGCCTGTCCTCTGAATCAACAATGCGGGGGTTTTTCACAGGTGGAGGAGTAGCTTCAGCTTGAGGTGCAGGCGTTTCAGTTTCAGGTTCAGTGTCTGATGAGGATGAGGCATGTGGTTGGCGTGGAAGACGATGAAATAAAGGACGCCTCGCTCCAGATGGGCCAGGTGTTGCCAAATCATGAGAAGGATCCTGGTAATCATCAGCATGTGGGAGAGGGCTTTCAGTAGCAGGCCACTCATCCATGTCCCACCCCAACAGGGCCCATATTGCTACTTCATGAAACTGGAGTAGGGTCAGTTTCTTGGCATCAGTTGTGTACATCTTGTACAACACATAGGCATTGTGTATAGCCATCTGAAGGAAGTAAAATGTGATCTTCTTAGTCCACTTATGCGACTTCCTGGTGAACCTGTAATATTTGACCATTTGGTCGAAGTGATCAACTCCCTTCATGTTGTTGTTGTAGTCGCAAATGGCTGTTGGTTTGTTTACAGTTACAATCTGAACAGATGATGTTCCGTCACGTTTCTTCACTCTCTTCCTTCTCTGTACTTCCTGTGTGTCAGCATTATGGCAGTTTGTGATCACTGACACCACTCTCTTGTCTTTCCAAAGGATAACAAAAGTGTTATCCTTGCGCCTGAAAATAGTCTGATCAACAGCGAATTTACCTTTGGCAAGTTTTTGCAGCTCTTTAGGGGCACCACGCTGCAATCTGAGTGTTCCACAAGTGTACACACCATTTTCCCTTAGCAATTCTGT